TGTAGAAAACAAAGAAAAAAATAACGAACGAAATATTATGTACTTCTTTTTTTGTGGTCGTCGGGTCGGAGTTGAATTTTAAGTGAGATGTGACTCGAATTGCGTCCCAATAACTATGGTATACATTCCGATTGATTTGGTTTAGTTTTTTTCGGGCTGTCTTTAGCTTTATTTTCTTTTTTTGCTGAATGAATTCTGAAACTTGTTTTAATCAATTTACTTAAGATGCGAGTTTCTAGGAAGTCAGAAATTCCCAGTTGGAAAATCCGTTTGCACCAAAAGGGGAAAAGTAAACTTTCAACCTGATTTATGGGATTTACACTAATAAACATATTTTAATATTAGCACAGATCTTATTATGCATAAGTAAACCAAATTTAATTAGTTCTTGGAATTAACATAGATTTTAATGTAATTTATGTTAAACATTGGAGATTTTCGAATTTCTTAATGTTTAATTAGAAATTTATAAAATTAGAACTTATTTTCTATGAAATTTCATATTTTCGATTACAAAAAATATTTACTTTAAAAAAAATATAATAAAATTTAAGTAAAGATAAAAAATTGACTAATTTCTGATTGATAAAATACAAATTTGTTTTTAAAGTTTCAAATTTATAAAATTATTAATTTCTATGTAAAGTAAATAGTTTATATTATAAAAAATACTTTGCTTTATATCAATCAGGATTAAAGTAACAAAAGTATAAATCGGTTTAGTTCATAAATTACTTAAGTTTCAGTGAGTTTTCAGAATTAGAAATCTAACATATTAATACAAAAAACACTTTTCTTATACAAAAAAATGATAATAAAGGTATAAAACTTTATTTTCTTCTGGATATTAATAATAATACATAAGAAAACAAGAAAATGAATAATTATTAGTTACAAAACTTAAACTTTATAATTATTCAAGAAAACTTGCATTGTTTTCTTTCTTTGTTAAAATTTTTAAGAATAAAAAGAGTAATTTTAAAATGATTACAAAGAAAGATCTTCGAAATGGTAATTCGCGATAAGAGAATGCACATTGCCATTAAATTATTATTCGAGGCCTAATTAAAATATAATTAAATTACTTTGGAAATCTCGATGTACGAATCTAAACACACAAAAGCAGAAGATAAATGGTAATTGCTTCGTAAAATGCTATATAATTTCTTGTGCTTTAAAAGAACGAGAGAAGATAGCGTAATTGGCGTTGCAGTTATGATACAAAAATTGACGGAGATCTTTCTATTTTTTTGTTGTTGTTGTTCTTCCACTTTTGTTGTTGTTCATTCGAAATCATGAATTTGAGGATTTTCTCTCAATCAGATAAAAACATAAATTTCTTTGTTTAATTTACTTTTGTCCAATTTATATTAATTGCTCAAATTTGTTTACAATTATAAAAAAAATGTTTGTTTGTTAATTTTTTAATTACAAATATGAATAAATAAATTAAAACTCTGAGCAATTTGTATTCATTAATTAAGGTAACTTCATTTTTTTTATCGTAAACAACAATACCTCACACAGTGCGGGTAATCAGATTAATTGATAAAATCTATCAAAATTTAGTTTATTTTGAAATTTTATTACAATTTTTAAAACAATTATTATTATTATACATTAATTGATTACATTTTAATTCATCTAATTAGTACTACTTTTTTGTTGTTGTTTTTGTATAATGAGTTACAATAAATCTAATGACTACAAAACTTTAATTACACAAAACACTCTCTTTTCTCGCCGTGAATTTGATTTGAGAACGTAATTAGATTTTAATGTCCATACTAAAACGGAGATCTAAACCAGAGCACGACATTTCCAATTTTTCACATTGAACTAAGTACAGTGCACTTACTTATAAAATAATCTATTGCAATCTATTATTGAACATGTTTCAATAAGATTTTCTATTTGCGGCTAACTCGAAGTTGCAACGGAGTATAGAGTAGCAATTACTAAGATCTCACAATCTTAACAATCCTTTACAGTGTACAAACATAGACCAAAGTTTTACATTGTTATAAATATTTAATTTATAAACATTACTTCCTTAGAAAATCCATATATGCAATTTTCTAATAATTAATATAATAATTTTATATCTTTATTTATATAGTCATACCTCGATTAACGAAGGAGCGTTTCAAAAAGCTAGTTTAGACGAAACTTCGTTTTCAGAGGTAAAAATATTACTATTGCCAAATTGGAGATATGTTTCTTCATAAAGAAAATGAAAAGTATTTTTTCAAACAACGAAAAGTTTTCAATGTCTTTTAAGCATATTTTTAATGTTTTGTTAATTCAATTTTTTTTCGGCAACTTTTTAAATTTTGTTTTTATTTTCTTTATGTTCGTTTTCTAAATCTTTCTATTTCTTTATATATATAGTCATACCTCGATTAACAAATAATGTGTTCCAAAAGGTACGTTAAACGAAACTTCGTTTTCAGAGGTAAAAATCCTATTGCCGGAATAGAGATACGTTTCTTTATAAAGAAAATGAAAATCTTTGTGTTTATTTTCTAAATCTTATACTGAAAAACCATAATTTTCTGCATTCAATAAATCTCTAATTATAGAACTTCTGGCCTTGAAATAGCAAACTTCTTTACATCAAAACTTCGTTAACAGAGGGTATTATATGAGAATCTAGTTATCAATTAACTAAATAAATTGAAGGAAAAAAAATCTTATATATTTTCCCATCATCAACAAATAATGATGTAGTGTTAAGTGGTCTACGTATTGTTTGAATTATTACCAAGGAGAACCTCAGGGTCTGCAGCCTTCGAATATAATGGAATAATAACAATATTTAAGATCCAACTAATTCAATTTAAATCGATGTAGCAGTTTGTTTCTCTACTACTGTAATTGATATTTTTTTAAAGAGAAGTGAAATTCACTTTTCCTTCATTCACAAAACGTTCCTATTCTCTTTATTTACACAGAGCTGGAATGAAATAATCGTTAAATTTAAAATAATCGAAAGTGAACATTCTAAATTTTCTAAACCCATCATACATTATTCTAGTAGCAGGTTCAAAAGATCACGCGCCATTCGAGATCTGCTTAGATTTACACCAAGAATCAATAATAGACTTGATTTTTTTTTTGAGTTTCTACTTAAATTTCATATACAATTTTATACTAGATTTCGATTTCGATTTAGAAAAAAATAAACTATTTATATATATATATATATAAATGTTGATATCTTGTGTTTTATTTAAAAGTTATTTAAAAATTTAAAAAAATAACATTTCTTTTATAACACTTTGTTATTTTTTAAATAACAAATGAATCTGTTTTTTATACTTAAAAGTCTTTAAAAATAATTGGAATATATCTAGTCATGAGGCTGTAATAATAATAAAATAAATAACTTTTTGAAACTAACCTTGTAATTATTTAAATAAAACTAGACTAATTTGTATATAACAAAATTTATGTTTATATTGGTTATTATGATTAAAACGATGTGATGTTTTTTTGATGCATACTGATGATGTCCTTTAAGATGTGGCAGAGAAATTGTAAACAAAGAGTTCCAAATCGTACGAGTATGTGATTAAATGGGGGCTGCAATTACTAAAGTACGTGCAGTTAACATAAATAGAATGATGGAATTGCAAATAAGTCAATGAATAAATAAATGCGTAAACGATATAATGTGCATGTTATGAGTTTGTTATTATTAAACTAGAGCACACTTTTCGCATCACGTAAAATGTATAAATACGTTAGTTTACATTTTATTAATAAATGCAAAGAGTTTTTATAAAAAAAAAAACGTTTTTACAACAAAATTAATCAATTGTTGTTCGTGAAATCAACAATTAAATTATCTATAATTAATAGACAAAAGTAGATTGATAAAAATTTCTATAAATAAGCAATAATTAAGTATTTTGAAAAATACTTCTTTCTTTAAAATAAATTAAAAAAAAAAAAGTAAATTAGGGTAAATTTTATAAGATTTACAAGTTTCTCAATGTTTCTGTATTTTTTTAAATAAAATATATCGAAAATCTTCACCTTTAGTTATTCCTTATTTGTAATTAAAAAAAAACGATAATTTTTCAGTACAAAATAATTAATATTGGACCATTAAAACTATATTTATATTATTACTAATATAGATATGAGCAAAACAAACTTTTTTGAAATGAATAATTTGAGAGTTTTGACAAAATTTATTTCAATGAATGAATGAAAAATATTGAAAAAAAGAATTAAAAATTCATCGCTTGATTTCTTCACAATTAAAAATTTAATTTAATACAGAATAGTGCAATTTCCGAAAGTTAAGCAATTTTCAATAAAAAATTTGGATTTTTTTTAATTATACATAAGTATTGAATGTACTTGAATATTTGTCAAGAAATCATAAGAAATATATGACTAAATATACCATTTTTTCCTCTGTTAAAGTCCAATATAAATATATGAATGGAAATACCCGATCCCAGTTAAATTAGCAAAAACCACTTATTAAATTCTCGATCAAATGAACAATAAAAACATAAGGATAATCTATTTGGAATCGCGCAGAAGTTTAACGCTAAGAGAGAAAATTTCGAGCGGAAAAAAATGGGTTAATAGAAAAGAGCGGTGAAAGAGAGGAAAAATTCTTAGCAGTAAAAAAAAATCGTATTTTTTTCTCTAATTCCTCCTTAATTAAAAAATTGACGGGTCATTTCTTTTCTTGCTGCCGTTTCTTTCCTATTTTTTATACACATTTTGTTAAGTGCTATGTATTAGTTTCAAGAAAGGAAATGTGTGTGTGTTTGCTACGAGTCCTTCCTACTACTTCCTCTGCGGATTCTGTGAATGGGTTTGGAAAAGAAATGGATGAGTGTTCTCTCTCTCTAAATGTGTGTGTGTGTGTATGTATATATAATTTATGTGAGTGTGTGTGTGAGGATTTGAGGCTGGTTCTTCCCCTTCTTAAACACCTCCTAGTGCACCTAGTTGTTATAAGTATGTGAGAAGCGGTGACCAAGGCGAGTCTCGTGCTTGAACCGGAGGATCTTCTTCGGTAGTCGCGAACACAAGAGGTGTTACTTCTGCTGCTGCCGCCGCTTTCGGTGTTTCAAGTGCAAGGACGTTTCAGGACGCGAAGGACGCAACGTTACGACACCAAATCCTATTCTCATCTCAGTTATTATTTCACTTTTTTTGTTGCTAAAGGATTTCAATAAACAATAGGTAAGTTTAAGGCCAACAAAATTAAATCTTTTTAAACAAAAGGATTTTCAATATCAAAATTTGCAATTGAATTTACAAAACTAATTAACATTTTACAAAAAAATAACAAGAAATTAGTTACAATTATTTCTTTATTTTTAACGAAAAATATTAAAACTTGATAATATCCATTTAATATTAGTATTAAAACAAAATATTTTTTTGTTTATTTTTTATAAAAGTAATTTATCAATAAAATTTTAGAAACATTGAAAAAAAATGCGATTAATACAAAAAATATTAATCAGAAAATAAACGTAATTCTTAATGAAAATTATTGATACAATTTTTCAAATTTGAAAATGTAGACAAATTATTTATTAAATTTTTAATGGAAATTAAGATAATTTTAAACTTTTTAGAAAAACTAATTTAGAAAAGTTGCATAAAACAATATTTGTTATTAAAATATTCTGGTCTGCTTCCAATTATTAATTATACACCTTTTAATAAGCATTTAATCGTTGATTTATTTGTTTCAATTTAAAAAAATACATTTTACAAGATCCATGTTAATTCAATATTAATTAAAATAATTACAGATAAATTATACGATTTTACGACCGTTTTATTAATTCCTTAACGAGCTTCCAGCTCTTAATTGAAATTGTGAACAAATATTAAAAAACAAGCCAGTTGATTCAAATTTATAAGTATTAGAATGTATTTAAAAAAAATATTTTTTTTAGTAAAAAATAAAAATTGTTACTATATAATTTCAGCTGAAATTATTATTATTTGGTGTCATTTTGTAGAAACTTCTGATTTATTGTTTAGAAAATTAAAAAAATAAATAAAAACTTGATTTTCTACAAATTACAACGAGATTTGCTCTATTAAAATCATTTATTTGTTGCTTCATTTTTGGTTCAAATTAACTTACTTTTCTTTATATATTATAAATTCTAAAAGTGGAATCATTATTATTTGGTTTTTATGTGTAGAAACTTTTCATTTATTGTTTGGGAAATTTAAGAATTAAAATATAAACTCGATTTGCTACAACCTCAATACAACTAGTTTTTCATTACTTTCCATCATTGTCTTTATAATAAGTAACATATATTAAATATTTTATGATGCTTTTAAGAATGTGCATATTTTTTTAATAGATTTAATTTGAAAATTATTACTAAATAAAAATTAAATGTTAAGATTAATTCAATTATAAAATAACACGTTTATGTTATTTTATAATTGAATTACATTTTTTGTTTTCATTAGAAAAGAAGTTCAAAACGGATTAACCTTCGACCTATTTAAGCAATAAACAAGTAAATTATGTTTGTCTATATTAGAAATGATAAATACTTATAAAATTACAACTTTATAAAGTAACAAAGTAAAGAGTTAATTCTTAAGAAAACAAATTTTAAAGAATGATCAAATAAAATTAAGCAACTTTTTGTTGGTCACATAACATATGTTATTTTGGTATGTTTTTTTACTGTTAGTCTGAATATGACCTATTTAAATTGTGGAATGGTACATCAATACCTCTCATAGTGCGGCTTCGATTAGTCCGGATTCACTATAGTCCGGTTTGAAAATTTAAAAAAAAACTAAATTTTAATTGACAAAATAAAAATAAATTTTAACATCTTCCATTAGTCCGATTACACGTACTATTTGAGGTATTGATGTGTAAAAGAAATTTAAAAAAATAGCCTTAATATGTGACAAGTTTTCAACTAAAGTAAATTATGTATAATAACTTTAAAACAAATAAATTATGTACAAATTATATGAATGAAATACAGGTAGAAAATATGGAAAAAATAGTCATTTGAATGGTACAACAATACCTCTCATAGTGCGGCTTCGATTATTCCGGATTCACTACAGTCCGGTTTGAAAATTCAGAAAAAAAAAACTAAATTTTAACATCCTCGATTAGTCCGAATACACGCACTTAATAGTGCGGTATTGGTGTATAAAATAAATTTAAAAAAATAGCCTTAATATGTGACAAGTTTTCAATCAAAGTAAATTATGTACAATAACTTAAAACAAATAAATTATGTACAAATTATATGAATTAAATACAGGTAGAAACCCCTTTTTAAATTAGAGACCTTTGCGAAATTGATTTTTTATTAAATAATACGAATATAAAAGTCTATAAATAGAATCAAAAAAGTTTGTTTTTGCAAAAAAAAAGAAGGACATTGACCTAATATACATTAAAAATCATTGCTAATTATAAATTGATATCGTAACAAAAGCATATAAAATCTGTTTAATACACAAACTTGTTTTTATTAATAAAACTGCACTTGCACTGCTAAAATCATTACGAATCGGCGGGATTTTCGAAACACGGTTTCTCTTAATGCGAATTTAAAGTAAATTTCACGAAACCTTGAACATTTCAATTAATTTTAATGAATCGTAAATTTTATAGGATATATCTCGATTTTTTAGTATCATTTCATCCACTCAGTTATGAATGTGAAACGCATTAAAATATAGGGCATTTCGAAAAAGAATTTTTACGAAAATAATTCGCGATTCTAATTGGAAATGTGTGATTGCGATAAATCCGTTAAGACGAGTTCTTGGTTCATCGTTTCATAACTTTTATCTAATGATCAGCTTCTACCATAACCGAAATACTAATTGCTGGTAATTTACGAAGAAAATCTTCGTTTGTCAATTAACATTCTTGATAATAGTATGTGCTGTGCAGTGCAGTGTGTATCTATTTTCTTTTCACGCAATTGCGAATTGCATACAGTACTGGATTCGGATCTGCTAATCTCTCTGGATAAATATATGGTACAGTGTATATGTTAACTGGTTATTGACCATTTGGTACTTCAACCTACTTACGCACATCTTCCGAGGCATAAATATTGAAAGTGAGAACATAACTTCAAAGGAAATTAAATAATTTCGTTCCTTTACAAAAGTAAACACTTTAACAAAAATAAATTTGTCTTTTTCTCAAAAAAAAAAATATAATTTACGTAATTACCTGTAATTTTACAAGAGTTTTCGCTTTGAACTAATCACAAAGTATTTATTTCATTGTCAACAATTTAGTGATTACAACCAAACATAATTATTTATAAAATTTCTTACGATATTTCACTTGAACATATCACAACAATCTTTATGTTTAATATGATAATTTGAATAGCATTAAGACTTGTTACTAAACAAAATGTTTAAATTAGTTCAAAGTCTTAGCAAACATAATATCTATTTCTTTTTTGCCAAAATTTTTCAATAAATATTATTACTAATTTAGTTTTATACTAAATATATATCATTCATTCAATTAAAATCAATTGCTTCTTATAAACGTTAATACACCAATACTTCGCATAGTGCGGTTTCGATCAGTGCCGATTCACTATAGTACAGTTTGAAAATTTCAAAACAAACTACATTTGATAATTTAAAGTCTTCGATTAGTCCGGTTTCAAGCAGTGCGTACTAGGCGAAAGATCAATAAATATCATTATTAAATTGATTTTCATATACAGGAAAAACTCAACCAGTGTACCTACCTCTCAATAAAACTTGTTATATAAGTATAATACGTGAAATGCCTTATTACGAAATAAGTACTGTTCACTTTGCTATTGGCAATTTACAATTTTACTGCCTCCAGACTGAAGAAAATATACATGATTCTTGGTTATTACGTTATTACTTTCTTCTATTCCAAGTTTAGTTAGTCTTTTTTCTATTCTACGTTATTAATCAAGTGTTTTGTACAATTTTAATTTAAAACCTATAATAAATTATTTTTTTTCATTTTTGATTATCTGATAATCTTAAAATTTATTTACATATTTTAATCATAGAAAAAAAAAGGTTTTGATTTTAAATTTATTATAAAATTTACAAAGCTTTATATTTCTTATAAAATATTTGATTCATAAGTTCAAAAATTTATAATTTTGCATAACGTTTACCAATTCTATTACGAAATATAGTTTCTATTAAGAATTTATTGATTTTTTTTCAAAATTTTGTCTTAATAAAATATGGATGATTTTCTATTGTTACGTTATTAGAAAGTGTCAAATTAATAAATAACTTTTCAAATATGTGTTTGATATAGTTTCTACAATTAAAATTAAAAAATCTATAGTATTATGTATAAAATCCTTATATTTCCTGTAAATATTTTCATCCAAAATTTTTTTTTTATAAAATAGAATTTGTATGATTATAAACGTAATTAATTCGAATTCTATAATAAAAGTTCAGTATACTTTTTAATTACATGTTGTTTATTAGTAAATTGCAAATATACTTATACTTTTTGAAAACCTTTAATTGAAAACCAAATTGATTTAAATCTTACTTCATTGAAACTTTAATTAATTTTACTACATTTTGACAATTACAACATTATTACAAAATTAGTACAAAATATTGTTGTTTTCAATGAAAATTTTTGTTTCTACATTTTAATGATCAATTTATTTGTAATAAAAAGTATAAAAAAAATGTTGATCTTGTAAAGTGGTGAATACATTTGATTTAATACACAAAACGAGTAAAAAAGTTAATATTGAAATGCATCAATTTTTGCTAAGAAAATTTGCGGCTTTACGAACCACTGATTTTCCACCAGCTACCGTAAGTGAAGATCTCTCAATGCAAGAAACACGGTAATACGATACGGCCTACGAATTTGCACTTCTGATGGTAATAATCATGTGATAGAACGAAGTATGAAGAAAACAAGAAGCAAAAAAAAGCGAAACGCCGATGCTTAACACCGTGCAATTATCTTAATTAATTAATTGGTGTGCTCTTAATGTAATTTAAATTAATTTCAATCTATTTATTTCTCCGACAGATATGAGCTGCTGCAGGACGTAATACCTGGTATTTTGCAGACAGACATCGTTCATTGCTAGTAGGAAACGAGCTACAATCATTTTTCAATTAATTTCGTTGCTGCCTCATCTTCTACATTTTTTTTTGTCTCATAGACA